GATATTTTCCTGCTGGTTCTGAGTCTGCTAGATAATGAGATACTGATGGCATTGTTGAACCAACAGAAACTCTCTTACTTTGCTCTTGCAGGTGAGACTACATAGAAGAGAAGAATCTGCATATCCTTGTCCATCAGGGTTGTTGTTGAGATAACCCAGCATGTGTCTGAATTTGCTGCTACCAGGAAGGCCTATCCATATGGGCAGCTATGGGCAGGAAAGGCAAGGCAAAGTACTCACTCCTGTCCTCATCTAATCAAAAGCTATTTCTACCCTAAAACCACACCCTTAGGATTTCCAGCCTTACTGTTTTCCCTTCTTCCTCAAAGTGTCTGCTACAGTATTTACTATACAAATAGTCAACAGTATTACCATGTGAGAGAAAGGGGGAAGCAGCCTTGCTATGATCTGAATGTTTGTGTCCCCTCCCTTCCCCAAATTAGATGTTGAAACTTAATTACAAAGGCAATGGTATTAAGAGGTGGGGCCTTTGGGAGGGGATTATGTCATGAGGACTCCACCCTCATGAATGCCCTTATAAAAGAGGCCTGAGGGAACTTATGAGTCCTTTCTGCCATGTGAGGATTCAGCCAGAAAGGCCATCTATGAAGAATGGGCCCTTACTAGACACTAAATCGAATCAGCTGGAGTCTTGATCTTGGACTTCCCAGCCTACAGAACTGCGAACAATAAATTGCTCTTGTTTATAAATTACACAGCTAAGGTATTTTGCTACAGCAGCCCAAACTAAGACAAGCCTATATATGCATTTGAAAGTTACAGGTTTGTGTTCATATATATTCAATTGATTTAGTCTCTTTCAGGCATTTACTTTTTAGTTTTACCACCTTCAAGTTGGTTTTCTGATTTTTTTTTTTTTTTGGCCTTTTTTAACTTTCTAACCAACAGCTCTGAGCCTTCTGATATGTTTTAACCTAAACCTTTGAAGTTATTTCAATTTTGCTTTCATCTCCATCTACGAGTAAGCTATTTCTACTAGTTCTTTGGGTCATTGTGGAGATGAAGTATTTATTTAAGCCTCTTATTAAAACTTTATCACTGAAGCCACCTGAATTCAAGGGCTTCTTCCCTTGAGTTACACCAATGGTTCTCAGTTATGGCAGCATATTAGAATACCTGGGGGGCTTTTAAGTCATATCAGTTCCTGGACTCCATTCCAGACCAATTAAGTCAGAATCCCTAGGAGTAGGATAATATTTTAAAAGCTTCCCAGGGTATTCTGATGTGTAGCCACTGGACTTGTTCCAACTGAAAAACACTGATTTCAAACACAAAATTTTCCTTAATTAGCAACTCCTTTACTCTGAGCACTTTACACCTAACCAGCACCACTCTCATTCCATATTTTTTATGTATTTTCCAGCTCTTTCTTTTTTGCCCTTCGGCAAATCACTTCCACTATGTGAGAAGCACAGAGTATTTAGTTTGGGTAGATTAGATGATTCTGTTTTAGTCAATTCAGAAATGTAGTTTGTGTAAATTTTATTTTTACATATAACCTCTGAAATTTCAATGGAAAAAGCACTCTCGATTATTTATGCAAATTTGCTAAAATAATCAGATGTTTGAATATAGATCAATTATTGTCATTTGAGTTTCATTGCTTCTGGTTTCAGCAATATTAGGCTGAAAAAGAAACCACTTCTAGTATGGCACATCTTCCTTACAATTCTAAATGTTATATTTAAAAAATCTTTACAAATTCCTGACTAAGCTGATAAAATCAGGGAATTCCTTGTAGGACATAGATGTCACATAAACACATTCTAGAGGAATAGGAAAAACACTAGACCGAAAGTTTTCCATAGTGAAGTCTGCTGATCTCTGAGGGTCTGGATTATAGGTTCTGAGGGATAGGCATCTGGGGTTCCTAGCAATGTGAGAAGTAAGATCTAAAACCCTTTGCATAAAGGCAAAACCCAAGAAAGGCAGCACTTTCAGAGACATATCTGTTTTTCAGATTAAGACAGTGAGGATGCAAGCCTGTCCAAATCTAGCTCTGGGTGTCTAACATTATTCTACTTCTGTATTTAAAAAAAATTCTGGCCAGGCGCAGTGGCTCAAGCCTGTAATCCTAGCACTCTGGGAGGCTGAGGTGGGTGGATCGCTCAAGGTCAGGAGTTTGAGACCAGCCTGAGCAAGAGCAAGACCCCCTTCTCTACTAAAAGTAGAAAAAAATTATCTGGACAACTAAAAATATATATATAGAAAAAATTAGCCGGGCATGGTGGCACATGCCTGTAGTCCCAGCTACTCGGGAGGCTGAGGCAGGAGGAT